AAAATAACTATCCAATAGAAATACTAATAAATATAATCCAATAATAATTAATATATTTCTTATCCAATAAGATTGTTTGTCAAATGTCATATCATGATAATATAAAACAAGATGATCAGAATCTCTCTTTTTTATATCTAGCAAATTGTCAATTTAAATTGATTGCAAAATTAATCGTAAAAGTCACTTTATCACTTTTGACTTAAACAAATTGAAAATGTTCATTTTTCCCAGCAAATTTTACTGTAGATTACTGATTGAAGTTCTCCTCAGCTTCATGCTTTATTATAAACTCCACAAAAATAAACTTGTCAACATAAATCAAAAAATTGATAAAATAATCAATTTAATCAAGCCTAAAAAAAGATATAATAACAAACTAAGTAAACAATTTGGTGAACAAAGTTATTTACCAGACGTCGAAAAATTGTGAAAGAACTTTAAAGACTTGTTTGATAAAAAGGCTGGGTTGAATTCAAATTTTTATTTAATCAAATAGCGTTTGAAATTCATAACCTACTTGGTAAAGGAAAGACTGTGGCTGCTTTCACAATACGAAATTTTTATTTTTGATGAACAACATCATGGAAAAAGATTATTGAGATAATTCAATATTGAATTGATGAAAAAAAGTAAATCACTCAAATAGAGACGATGAAAATAAAGAAATAGATGATAGTGATAATATTATTAATAATAGCAATAATAAAAAAGATAATGAAATTTAAATATGCACCAGAGTGATCAAAAAATAGGTTATATTCATAAATGACTTTGGATCTGAATATTTTCCTCTCATGCAATCACTCTGATGCTTTTATTATTGTTTATATTTTAAGAGCGCGCATTCAATAATCGAAATAATAAATTTATGCTTATGCAAAAAATCGTTTGACTCTTGTAATTGTATCAAAAAGCAAAATATGAATCAAGCTCAACAAATAATATTTTGTTAATAAGCCATGAAATCCTAATGAAAATTGCTTTTCCTTACCTATCTTCTAATTTTCATTTTTTTTTTGATTCATTATAAGTTGATGATAATGTTCATTTATTGGTTATTATTTTTTATTCTTCTTGATAAATTTCATAAGTAATTTTTTCTTTATCTAGATATTCTTGAAGAGTTTGGATATTATTGATTTTAAAAACGTATGGAAAAATTTTTTCATCTTGAGCTTTTTTTAGAATACTTCTAATAGTGCTGTAATTCTTTGGTATTATGATGGATTTAATATAAATTGATTTCATATTAATATTTTTTATATATATAGAAATAATCCTATATTAATCATGTTATGGTTTATATTCATCACATTCTGGTATGATAAAGTGAACATTAAAATTAACAAGTTCATAAGTTATGAATGAGCACCATTATTACTTTTCAAAACTTCATCAATCACACTGGTCAATTTTACAGTCATATCATAATCAGCCTCTCATTTATATCACATAATCAAATGTTCACTTTGTCTGGTTTTGTTACAGCTTGCCCCATATACTATATTCAATTTTCTTGTTGATTACTAGATTAATACCTGACAGAATTAGACTTTACATTTCCTTCTTGCCAATCACCACCCTGACTATTCGAATATTAATCCGTATAATGCCTATTGTCATTAATGATCAGTGAAAGAAGCGAGTTGGTATATAATGGGATGAGAAATATGGATATTCCAAACTAACACTTCCCCTCGACTTTTTTCTATCCGTAGATAGGTAAAAAATAGATACCGTATTTTTCGGCAATTAGTACCCGGGTCTTTTACATTCTAGGGACTCAAAAATTGATTAGTACCCACCGGGTACTTTGTGAGGAGGGTATATTATACGGGGGATACTTAACATGGAAGCCGTAAGTTTGGCCCGGATTACACTAGTTTTGGCCTGAATAATGCTAATTTCAGGAATTATGAAGGGAGTACTTTACATTCTACTCAACTTGTAACCGAGATTAGTACCAGGGTACTTATCAGGGGGATGTTTTATCAAGGGGGTACCAAAGAGTCAAATTTTTTTATTAAATAGTTTTTATACAGTTACATTAATTTTATAAAAATAAAAGTAATAATTCAAAGTTTGCTCGTGCGGGGAATATTTGTAATAATTAAATATGAAAAAATAGTATTGCAATAAGTGATTAAAAGCTTACCATCACATTTCTACTTTCCAACTATTATTTCATCCACGATAATACAATCCGCGATCATTCCATCTGTTACTAGTACTATTTCCCCCATTACTATTACCACCTCCACCACTTGTATAATGCCGATTATCATTACTATTATCCAAATCATAATTTTTTTTGTGCCCACTTGGCGAATACTCTCCATTACTAAAAAAATTATTGTTAACATTATAATTACTTGGCGATGGTGATGATGATGACGATGTTGTTGTTAGTGGCAAGGCGGGTGAAGAATACGGCGACATTGAAATAAACGAGGATGCAGAAGATGCAGTAGTAGCAGAAGTAAAAATACCACTGCTGCTAATCATCGCGTTACTACGGTTCGCATGATGCACGAAATAAAGAAATACCACGCTAGCGATACCGCTCACGAGAAATATCACGTCGAACCAGCGATGGTAAAAATTGAATTCTATTGCACCGAGGACTTTTGATATTATCATTCTTATTTTTGGTCATATGAAAGATGGGATGTGAATATAAAAAATAAGATTACGGTAAAAAGTAATAATAATGACAATAACAAACCTGTATTCAGCAGGTAACGACATCCTCAACATCATCACCGAACTCAAAAAGTACATGCCCATTATTTGCGCGAGGAATAGCACAATGTTACTTCGAGATACTGAATTCGAAACAGCTCGAAAAAACTTTTTATGATAATTAACGTAAAAATTATAATTAAAAGTTTTATTAATTATACACATTCAAGATAAAATAAAAATATAATTTAACAATAAAGCAAATAATACAATACCTTCAACAACTGAATCAGCAACCCACGAATCGAAAAAATAATCATCAACCCCACGAACAAGAAACTCAACTGCTGTGACCAGAATGGCACGTCCATTTCCAAATTGATGTATTTGATGGCAAGTGTAAGGCCATAGGTTATTGGATCTGAAGCTGGACCAGTATTTCGGCTGAGGATAATGTTAATAGAGGCCTTTTCATTTCAATTAATTGATGTTAGATAATGATGTAATGCAACAATACAAATAATTCTATTGGATAGCAGATATGGTGAAATGTGAATTTTAATCAACATGAATGAAATTAATCGTTGGTATTTACCATCACAATCTTGTAGATACAGTATACAGAGAAAATGTAACCAAGGTAATTAAAGTATTTTCCTTTCCATGTTTTCGAATAGTCAAGACGACCCTTTTTCGTTAAGATATAATAAATATATTAATTAAGCAGGCAAACCCACCATCGATAATCATAAAAAAATATGGCGTAAAGATAGACAATAAACCTTCTCTTGATGTAAATCATCAATATCCAAGAATAATTGACGCGCCAAGTTCTCTAGACCTGTTATTTCTTGTCGTAATGTACCGATATCTGGTATTTTTTTTTGTTTTTACATTTTGGGATAATTAATGAATTTTCAACTTTTCTCTGTAAAAAATGATCCATAAGATACCGCAAAAAGCAACATACTTTCACCACCAATCCCCATACCACTAGCCACTGTGTTGAACATTTTCATCACAAATCCACCGACTCTTGAGCTGTTATTATTATGCTTAATTGATTAATTATAGAAAGCAAATAAATCTTTTACACATTATCGAAAATAAATAATCGTAGATCAACATATTTAATTACTTCATTGACATTATTTTTTTGACGTGTCTGTATAATTAGTATTCGTCTCTTTTTGTTCATGATTTGTTCAATTATTTGAAGGTATTTTTTTTCGGCTGATTGTATATCGGCGTCTGTGACCTGTCTATATAATTTTACAATAAGTAAATAGTATGTAAGTAACATAAATCGAATCAATGTATTAAAACATAAAATAACTATTATTTGCCAACCTAAGAAAGAAGAACAAAGTGGCATAAGGACTATTCACCGCGCCAAATCCCGATAAAATAGCCATTATCGTGACACCAATAACACCCACACGACTCATACCTGACTGAATAAAGATATCATCTGTTCAATCAAAAAAATTTAAGTAAATGCTTGATAAATCAGAAAAAAACCTATGATTATTTACATACTTGTCTCTGAAGTATTAACATTCTTTGAGATTGGGAATAAATTTCCCACTTGCCAAAACCCATAGAAGTATATGCACCAGCAAAGTGTTGCGACTGTTAACGAGTAGCGTGTGGCAAGACCTTTTTTGTGTTGTTATTAATTAAATCCGATCAGTTGTTGTGAATCATTAAAAATGTACATTTAAAAATCAATCCCAAAATTCCAAAATCCCAAAATCGTAAAAACAAAAAATAAACTAACTCTCGCGCAACACGTTCGTAATCACCAAATTCATTTGATAAAAGGGGATAAGTATGATAACGAGGAATAACAATATGTAGAGGGTGATTTTCCAGTGAAACCACCGTGAACTAATAATTTATTATATAATAAAATTTATTTTAATATATCACTTTATCCATCTTATTTACTTTATTCGAGAAATTCACATTCAAATTGAATCTAAAATTAGAAAATAAAACTAAATCGCCAAAGCACCTTCCCTTTATATGCACAAAAATTAATGTATAAATGGACGACACAAACAAAATAAACATAACAAAAAGAATAATACTGACTCTCTATCCATAATATCCATAATCTCAAAAATGACTAACTCGAACAACGCACAGCTGTTACTGAACGTCAACGAGAACACCGCCTGAACCAACTGCTCAGCATGACGGTCAGTCGACGACTCGTAATCTTTGAATAGCTTCTTTACGAGAAATACCCAGCCAAAGGCGAAGAAGAGAACTTGTGACCCGAATAGTATTAGAGTGTCGTAAAAGAAGCGGAGGGTAGAGTCTACTACCATTTTAGAGGTCAAAATTTCAATTCAAAAATTGAAATTGTGCTAGTTTGAGATCACGAGATCGTCGTCGATCATTGTCATGTGATTTAGAATAATTTCAATTTCAGGGATAGTGCAAAATCATGTGATATTTCCGGTCCAGTGCCGGACAGTACTTAGGGACAGTGCAAAATCATGTGATCTTTCCGGACCAGTAACGATGGGTTACGTCGATCATACCCGGCCACGCGTAAATATAATCCATGACTAGGATATCCATTCACATGTCGTGATGATCGGTTTTGCAGTGATAATTAAAATAATAATGGCATTTAAAATTAGAACAATCAAGTATTTCTGCACACTTGAATGTTCTTTATGATTAAATATTTTTGTATAATTGATTTCTTTAATTAAAATACAGTCAAACTTCTCTATAGTTACACCTATTTATAGTCACACCCCTTTATAATCATCCTATTTTGCTTTCCCATTTACATATAAACATAGTAAATAAAACCTTTTTATAGTCACATTCCCTCTATAGTTATCAAATTTTGCTTTCTTGAGGATGGTGACTATAGAGAGATTTGACTGTAATTAAAGAGAAACTTAATGTTTTTGTATGATTAATTTCTTTAATTAAAATAATTAGAGTGAAACTTGTTACGTTAATAAAATATTGTTATCATGTGATAAATTCAGCACCAGATATAAGATATATCATGTTACTTATAGTATATTTCTATTAGATAGTTAGTAAATATATGATCTACAAACTATAATTCTTTTTAGTTCATATTAATCCTTTAGATTTCATATTATTTCATTCTAATTTCATTATATTTTATATTATTTTATCTTATATTTTTTATATTTTATACTATTATATTTTATATTATTTATATTTCATATTATTTATTTTTAGTTCATACTATTTGTTTTTAGTTTATATTATTTTCATATTATTATTATTAGTATGAAAAACACATGTTATCGATCTTTGAGAATCAAATTAGCTTAATAGTAATTCATAATAAATTAAGAGAATTGCTATTTGCATCATGGATACATGCATCATATCAATCACTTCGATTATATCTAGAGATGGCGCAGCAAGTATGTGATACTTATTTGTTACCCGTTGCAACACGTTGCAACTCCAAAATTTTATAAGCTGCAACTAGTTGTAACTAGATGATGCTTTATTTGTTACCACATTGCAACAGTTACCGCACCATCTTTAATTATATCACATACAGTATGATAATAAATACTAGTAACTATGTAATATATACGAATTTATTATGCTATTTTTTTAGATACTTTCCAGGATCTGACATTTTGACATGTCATGTTTTTCTTGAGGAGACTGTTGCAATTTTGTCTCCTCGTTGCTATTCCGGTTGTTATCCCAATTCTCTTCTGTTATATCCTTTTTCTTGTCTCATTCCCAATCTTGGATGGAACTTTCATGATATTACGATCCAAATATTCTATAATATAGTTATTTTAATGTTAGTTAATAACTTTTATTATATTTAGCATTTTTAATAA